CTAACCGGCCGGAACCGAGTTCCGGTGCACCCCTAATTTTAAAGTAATTAAAAGTTAACTGGCCAAGTAAGACGAAGTTAAACACATTACATGTAAAGAAAATGCTTTATCGCGAGGGGTCGGGACATATAAACAGATTGTCAATTTATTAAATTGTCAATTATAAATTGTCAATTTCCGTCCGATAGTTTGTTGTATTTTATATATTTGTCAGCATTGTTCGCTGAGTGTCCAAACACTAGAATTTCTCGATTTCTTAAACTTCGTTTCAGCACAAAATTAAACTCAACAGATTATATTTCAAGTCTTTCAAACCTTTGTATGCCCCGAAGGAAATCTTGATTCTTGATCTGGAAATCTCTGAATTTAAAATTTTTGTGTTGTTAGTTTAATTAACCAATGAAATAGCTTTATTTCTCATAAATTATTCAAATAAAGCACTATCCAATCAGAGGCCTGTCCCCAAAACTGGGAACTATCCACGTGACCTGAACAAGGATTATGCATCCAACTCACAGACGTTCTGTCACATGCTTTGTCGAGAGTAACTGCTGTACACAGGGCTAGTCGAAAGGTGATGTGCAGTGAACCCTGAAAGGTTCAGAAAAACTAAATCCTATATCACCCTACCAAGTCTGGGAGACCAAGGTTTACTACACCTCAAGAGAACTAATTCACAAAAATAACTTCTTGGCATAATAGAACTGCAGCTACGTGAGAAAAAACAATCAGGAAAACAACAGTAAGAATTTGGAAAGGAAGACAGAGTTGCGGTTTCTAAACAGTTGCTGCGTCCTAAAAATGAGCGCAAAAGATTGTTATGGGGAAAGAAATTCAAGAACTACAGTAGAAACTGCAACTCTTCCTTTCAGATAATTTGCAGCCTATCTCCTTCTTACTGTTGTTTTGCTGATTGCTTTTTCTCGGGTTGCGTTTATCGTTCGACACTCCTGTCTTTGCAGCAATTTGTCGCTGTGAGTGTGTTACACCTTCGTTTCTTAGAGCAATAATTTGTCCTCTAAGACCTACTTTGGAGGCCAAGGTCGCCGTTATTACGTGCAACATTGTGCAACATTAGGCGACATTGGCAATCTTCGAAGAAAAGTATAGTATGCGTCGCTGGGCGAAACTGGGTGACATTGAGCGACATTGGGCGAAACTGGGCGACATTAGGCGAAATTAGGCAACATTAAGCGAATAGACTGTTAGGCAAAGTTCAAAAATTGGGTGCACATGGGCGACATTAGGCGAAATTGGGCAGCATTAGGCGAACTTGGCCCCCAATGTAGGCCTCCTCTAACTCCTTAGTTAACTTAAATCTTTAGCCATGCATCCTTGACGCACATTTGTGAAGAGAATTAAATAAACGTATTTTATTTTAAAGGCCATGTAAAGTTCGTAAATGTAAACAAATGCTTTGTTTACATTTTGAACTCAGTACTACAGTTGTAAAATATGATTAGATATATATTATACTGAATTTTTAACACTCTTCTGGTTTGCTATGCTTAGAACGTTTGGAAGGTGCGAAATATTAATAACATTCCAATGGTCGGGTCCCGACCAGTGGAATGTAGGCCTGCCTAGAACATATGCACAGTACGGACTTTACATGGTTATATATACATGGCAAAATTATGAATGACAAAATGTGGGAAATAATTGCAGATCTCAATGCCCATGCTCAAGTAGCAAATGACAGAATATTTTTCTAGTACACTTTTCTCGTTTTTTTGACAAAATTTGGGACTGGACTCATACTTTTGGCACCCGCTGTAACTTGTTTTAGTATTTTTGCACAAGTGAACATAACAAATCCTACAAGTTGATTGGTCAAATATGACGTATTTTAAAAGCTGTTATATTCACCTACAGGTGAATATAACAAAACCGAAATTTTCAAAGTGGCGGCTAGTCGTTTTGTGGACGTTTATATACTGATAAAGAAATAATCGAAATTAAAATAAATCCAGTCCCAAAAAACACAAAAATACTAAAACAATTATTCGCCTCAGGCTCGGTGATTATCGGGGAATAATCACCTCGACTTCGTCTCGGCGAATATTCCCCGATAATCACCTCGCCTTCGGCGAATAATTGTTAAATATCAAAGTCAAAATATGAACGTCAGTTTCAGTCCCTTTCTATTATTTTTGTCTGTGCAGTTAACACCAAGCTGGCTTCAACTTTTGGACTGGAGTTAGCTAGATTGCTCCAGATATACTGCATATGAACCTCACTGAGTTGTCACAGGAGTTACCTCAAATTTTCAAGTTGAGACCCTTTAAGCCTGCAAATCCCATCTTATTTATTAACTTCGCCTGTTACATACTATTATAATATTACATGCATAATAATATACATAAAAATATTACTTGATTTTAGTGCAGTTAATATCAAACAGCAGTGCAAAATTTGTAGCCTTAAAGCAAATGTTTTATTTGAACATATAGCAACTTGTTCGTGTTTCCGTAAACTCAATCACCAATGACTGATCAACATTGACTGTATATTCCTATCATCTTACACAAGGTTGTGTTTATATAATTTGACATTCATGTCTTACAGGGCTAAAAATGCTGTCCGTATCAGATGCTGCTCAATTTGAATCACTTGGCGACAAAGCAGTGACTCGCTTCAGACCATGGTGGGAAGTTCTTACATTTTACTGCCTAAATGGTCTTTTAATGGCAGTAATGTTTGCATTAGCAGGCATTACCATTTCTGGTACCTATAACATCTGGTGTTTTCCACTTGGAAACGACACTCAATTGGATTATACTGTCATGAACTATGCTAGCTCAAGATGCTCGAGAATATTTGAAGGGAGTTATCTCATATACTTTCCATACTGGATGTTCTTGGAGTGGGCTATATTCTTTGTCGTGCATTTGTTGTGGTTTAAATTGCCTGCAACATTTTTCTTATTTCAACAATTATCTGAAGTGTTCTCTGAATTTAGCACCATAAAACCTGTGGAATATAATACTGAGAAAAGAATTTTAAGAGGTACACTACAACTTTTTAGACGTTTAGCCAGGTTCGACTTCTGTATGCATATGACAATAGCAAAAAAGATAGCACTATGTGCATTGCGTAGCGGTGATATCGATAAGTTTCAGATATTCAGTGATATTATATTTAGATAGAACAAAAGAAGAGTGATCAAAGATGCCTTTTTTTCAACGGAAATGGTGTGCAAAATCCTGAAAGAAATTCGAATACCCGAAAACGTTCCGAAATTAAGGCCTGGTATCGCGGGTGTAAACCATAGAAATAATAGATATCTATTATTTCTATGGTGTAAACGATGAAAATATTCAACAAACAAAATTTTTTTATCAAAGTAGTTGGTGAAAACTTTATTCACTCTGAATATTTCACGAAACTTGTCGATTTAACCAGCATGCAATGCGTGGCGCCATCCTGTTTGGTTTACCGTAACCGAGATTTCACGAAGACGAAGAAGCCATTACATGAAGAAACACTGATATATAACCAAACACCTACACTTTGGTTTATTAAACGTACTATATTTTTCACTATTTTGAATAAAATTCCCGCCTATTTGCAAAATGCGAATCTTATGCGATTCCACAATAATGTTAAAAATGCTTGTCAGCGGTCGTTAGTCACATTTTATGTAATTTTGTTTTTAAACGCCCGAGGCACAGTTAACTACATGATCAGTTAACTCTTCCACTAACTACGTTTTGTGCAACACACTTATTAACTAACTACAGTTAAGGATTTAACTACGGTAGTTATTAACGCTATTAACTTTAATCGCAGGGTGCGATAATTCGCGTACGTACGCTAATATTACGGCCTGGTACTTCTTTGTTTTCAGCCACGTACCACGTAGGTACGCGGAACTGTTGCTATCTGCATACTTACTTTTTGCTGGTATCACATGACCTTTCCAAGCCCAAGGTATTCAATACCGTAATTTTATTGGTATATCATGTGTCTGAGATGTTTGGCATGAAACATGATTGGCTGATGGCACTAAGAAGTCGATTGTTTGTATATGCAATTGTGCTTCCTTTTCTACCTCGTAGTCTGAACGTACTTTTCAGAAACCAGTACTTTATGAACCTTATTTTAATGACTAAGTACATATTGAGTACTGAGTTTGTATCAGCGCAAATACGCGGCAACAACCATTGACGTACCAGTCAGGTACGAATAGATACGTACCAGTCAGGTAAAAATATTGAATTATCGCACCCTGAATAATCGCCCTTCTGAAACAATTGCTAACAAATTATTTTAAAATTGGCTACAACTTTCGAATAACATTTGAAGTAACTGTAACTTCTGAAGGCAAAATACAGAGGTGAGAGGTTTGAAAAAATTAACACCGACAATGCAACTGTATAGGAATCGAACTTGTAGCCCTGGGATTCCGGTGATTTTCGCAACTGCTCCATTCGAAAATTCCTTCTACAAATAATCCAACGTTGACCCCATTACCTAAGGGATTGCAAATCCCGGAGCAGTTACTTTCACACTGAATTCCTATGCCTATATACGGTTCGCATCAGGGACTGTTTATATGGACGCGAGCCAGCCCGGGTACCCAGGCTAGCTCGCTTTCCTGAAACGAACTTCACCCCGTGAAAATTATCTTTAGACGCGCTGGCTCCCAATACAAAGAACCCAGACAAAATAAAACACCATAATATAAGCACATTTTGCAACGGACTGGTCATTTACACAACATATTTACTTAAACAAAGCATTAATATTCGGACTGGGTAGGCGAACCAGCCGGGCCTTTGCGTTTATATGGAAAATTCCAGCCCGGATTTAGCGAGATCTCGGGTAAGTCAACGTGGGATCTCGCTTATAGGCGGGCCAGCTTGGGTTCCATATAAACACAGGATGAAATGTAATAGTAACAATTTAATAGGAAATAATTAACAAAGCTCGTGTACCCGGGCTGGCTCGCCCCATATAAACCTCTCCTCACTTTATCGTCTTTTCTTTGCCTCTCTAGGAAACGCTGGCTTGAGCAGTAAAGCTACTGGACTTCATCTCCGGGAGAACAAAGAAACAAAACAGAAAGTTCGAAATCTCGTTGACCGTATCATGGAAATAGTTCAAGAAGACAATCGTTTAGTTTTTATGTACACAGTGAAAGCTATTTTTCTCTGTGTTTCAAATGCTGTTGCAGTAGTTGTGTTGGTATTGTGGCTGTATGATCGACAATGGCATGCATCATTCCCATGTGATCTGTCGAACCACGTCCCCCTCATATATGAAGATTTAACATGTTCATTACCAGCAGCGCCCTTTCTTTATGGCTTAATGATCTGCAATGTAATATTTGCTTTCTGCATTTGTCTGTGTAGTATGTTCGCATTAAAATGGGTTGCAACATTTCGAATATCCACGTACTCAAATTATAAGAACGCTTTTCAGAAGTGGACATGTTTGGTTCATAAAAAGGGATTTCGGGACTTTTGTTTTTGTCTTGATTTGACAAGCTCTACTAGTAAAGACGGGAAAATATTGGGAGATATTATTTACTCGAGTCTAAAGCTCTATGAGAAGTCTGATAAACGTAATTCACATGTGGAGTTAATGCAAGATATCAATAAGAAAGCAAAATTTTCATCAATGTTTTACCAGGGAGAGCTGATAGCCAGTGAACTGGGGCTGAAGATTTTGGAAGGAAACGTCTCAGACGATTGCTTATTCAATGCTATTGCAAAAGTGACAGGAACTGAACCGGCAAACGTTTGTGATACAATTGTTGAAGAGTTGACAACAAATATGTATGTGTACAAGGACCTTGTTGACAACGATATGAATTGCCCTGTTTTTGAGGAGTGTGTTGAATTGATACAAGAAGAAAGAAAGACACCAAAGGAATTTCATCACTATGCACTGATGGCTGCATGTAATGCTTTCCATGTTAATATTCTTGTCCTTGCTGCGAGTGCGAAGTGTTGGTACTATAAAGCAACTGATGGTGGCACCGAAGCTTCTGTCTCAACCACATATTTATTCTTTATTAATCCAAATTACTACACCGCTGTGGTTGACGAGCCACGTCAGACAGAGAAACATGATAATAGAGAATTGTTTATCCAGGATATAGCTTATCGCAGACAGCTTCAAAGCAAAGCAAACATTTCTTGGGAAGAAGATGGGAAACGCAAATACCAAAAAACAATGAAGACTTTAAACCCGCAAGTAATACCGTACGGGAAGAGCACTGTTCCACCGCCGAAACGACCAACGAATATCTTGACTGATTTGTTCAATGAAACTGGGCAAAGGATTTCCAAACAGATTTTGAGTAAAATCTACATTCCTGGTTTAACTAAACAACACGAGCGTGCAGCAGATGATCACCAACCGCCAGTTATCTGAGAGCTTTAGATTTTACTCAAGTATGAGATTTGTTGTTTACAGTCTTTACACATGCTCGCCATCTTTTCACGTCATCTCGTAGTAGATGCTTGTATTACTACGAAACTTTTCAATTTGGCCACGCCTACAATATTTATAAGGCGTCAGTACATGATGGCGTAAGAGTATGCCAATATCCAAATCCGGTGGTTCTTTTGGAATAAAATCTACAGCTCTCTATTAAAATTCTCTAAGTTTTGGGAGCTGAGTCTCACTTAAGACTTTTATAAGACATAAATAATCTTTGATAATGTAACAAACCTTTTCCAATTTAATATTAATATTTGGCATTATTGTACAATTATTAATTAACAATTATTCGCCGAAGGCGAGGTGATTATCGGTGAATAAAAACCGAGACGAAGTCGAGGTTTTTATTCACGATAATCACCGAGCCTGAGGTGAATAATTGTTTTAGTATAATTTCATAGGTGATCATTTGGAAAAAAATTTTAAAATGCACATTTCTTCGTCATTTAATTGAGAAAACGGCTTCGACCGCCATTTTGAAAATCGCTTAGGTGATTATTGCGTAATAATCTCCTCAACGGCAACCAATCAGCGTGGAGAATTTTCAATAATCACCTATGTAATTATACTAAAATACAGTTATTCCAATTTATTTCTATTCAATTTTAGATTGTCAGACCAGTAATGCTAATTTGCTTATATTCAGGATAACATTCTGACTAATGTCCATGTGGTAAACCAAGAATCGGAAACTTTCTGGCAGTTAAAATTTTAGGACTCCACCACAGGTTAGCTAGGCTCCATTACCAGCCGTTACTCAAGTCGGACCCCGAATGCCGGCTGGTAATCGAGCCTACAGGTTAGCCTGAGCGAGCCCCATAGTTTTTCATGGTGGCCAACCAATTTTGAACGAGGTTCGTCGACTCGTATTATGCAATCTTGGACTTTAGTTATAACTCAGTCCTTGACATTTCCACAAAACTTGAGAAAACCTCAAAACTTTTTTGAAACATTTGAGCTTATCTACCTCTTTTTTAGACATTCTTCGGCTTAAGGTAGTTTAAAAACTGTGTTTGAAGAATGAAAAATAAAAGGATTATATAAAGGAACATAATTGCCTATATATGTCGCAAAAAAGTTGTTTAGGTATACAACAGAGAATCTGTTTGGCTAAATGACTTAGGCACATGTCAAGGAGTTGCATGCATCATACTCTGAAGACTTGTTTTAGGCAAAAATCTCAAATTCGTCATAAATTACTCGATATAGGCAAAAAATTTAAATTTACAACTCTACATGTGATCGAACATAAACCCAGAACGATTTACACTTACAGATTTGATGATTAACAAATGGAAATGATGCGAGAAAAGAAATACGACTATAAAGTAGCTTCTTGAGAAAAATCTTGCAGCTTGTCAACAAGATATGTTTGCACTGCTTGTCCCATGCAGTTGTTAACAAGTCTAGGACTTTAGGACTAATTGTTTGATTCCTTTAACCAGGTTGACGAGGCCAACAGACTCGCAGTAAGTTTGTTCGAACAGGTCTGATATCGTCTTGTACGTAACAAGTTGTCAATAGGTTGATGACAACAAGGTCGTAGCAACTTGTTACGAACAGTCTGTATTAGTCTTGTTGGACCAACTTGTGGCAATTCTGTTGGTATCACCTTGTAACGTTGAGAAGTTGTTCCAACAAGACTAATAAGGCTGTTGGCATCAACAACCTTGTTACAATACATCTTAGCACTATACACATCAAAGCTATAAACAGGGTTAAAACATTTGAGAGGAGAAATTTTGCATGTTGCGTACCACTCGCTCAAAACTAACTAAATAGTATAACACCACTTGCATGGTGGTGATGACTACTTTCAAACTTTTAAATTTTTGATACTTTCTCAATCGGCAAGCAAACTTAAAAATTATGCTTAGCGCTTTATCCGTCGTAAAATAATTTATGCTAAAATGAAAAGATTTTAGCAGTGAATGTTTGCTTATATGGCATCAATTTTAGAAAGGTTCAGTTTTGACTACCACTGCCTCTAGTGGGCTTGGTGCGCATCTGATTGGTCAGTGGTCCCTCAATTGAAGCGGTAGTGGAAATCAAATCTGAACCCCTCTCTTATATGTTTCTCAACCGGCAAATTCATTTATAAAGGCAGCTAACTTTATAAACCAGAAAATTAAGTTAAAACAAAATATTTTGCGAGGTACGCCAGAAAGATTTAAGCCTGGTTCACACGATGAAAATAAGCACAAGCAGCGGAACCTTTGATGTAAGCATAAACGTAAGCGTAAAGAACGCAACATTTGTTCTTCTTATGCTTACATCAAAGGTTCCGCTGCTTGTACTTATGCTTATTTCATCGTGTGAACCAGGCTTCAAGGTTTGAACGCTTTCCATCATCGCAAATACGCGACATGGAAAAAATGCCTCGGGCAATACTAGCATGGCGTAAGCTTTAATTAGAATCGTGAACACTATGACTGCACGATACGTCATAATTGCACGATATCAACAACTGACCATGTGTCTGCCTGTTCTGCAGGTTTTTGATAGTTTGATAGTTTATTTGACACTAAAACTTACAGCTCCAGAATATAACTAATTCCACTGCTGAAATATGTTAGGTTTACAAGGATATTAAAACTAATTTTACATGTATTTGTTTAAGAAAACGAATAAGATTAGACTAAATACTTAAAAATACACATTCACATATATATACTGTATGCGCAGACTTATAAATTAAGAAATTAAGAACATTTAGAAATTAAGAAAATTAAGAAATTTGCACTGTATTTCATTTTTTCCGCACGGTATTTCGAAAAAAATTGCACTGCATGTGTATATTATTAACGGCTTTACATTTGACTTGCGTCGGTAACAAATGATTTTGTCATCAAGTCAAGTCATTTTGTCGTGCAACTCACATAACTCTGACTGCGGCTAAAAAACAGCAAAGAACAGATTAGTGAGGTCATCATGAGTTCTTAAAACAAATGGTGAAACAGACGTGTGTGGTGTGATCATTAACTGTAAATTACGCACGTGACTGCATAATTTTTCCATGTATATTATTGATAATTAATAGTATGTTTCTCGTGCAATTTGAAAAAACATACACTCGTGAGTTTTTCAAAGACTTCAAATTGCACGAGTCCATTTTGATAATCTTTGAAAAACTCACTCGCATGCATGTTTTTTCCAAATTGCACTCAAAACCATACTATTACCTATACATATTCACCGATGATGTACAGTGACTAATGCAGCCAGATTGGCGTATCAGAGCCTGTATGTACAGTATATTAATATAATTTATACAATTGTCGTGGGAGACAATTTATACAATTGTCATTTATACAACTGTACAGAATGACTTGCGACTTTACTTGGTCACTGACAAAATTACTTGCGACTTAACACTTGTGACTTGACACTTGCGACTTGAATTGGACTTGTAAAATAAGACCTGTTAACAACTCTGGCAATAATCGTCAGCGAGGATCTTAGCCCGGTCTTAATCAACTTCAGTTTCGAGAATAATATTTCACATGAAAATTTTGTGTCCAGATTTTCTTTTCTGGAAGAAAATTGCGAAGATTTTTATGCTGACAAATAGCGGCCGCACCTAGTGAATTTTCAGCAAGAGGAAATAGTCTGTCCTCCATCCAGCAATTCCGGGCCCACAAAATTTCCCGGGCGGATGGCCCAACCGCTCAGTCCACCCCTGCAATATCATCATACCATGCATATATAGAGTATATTAAATAGAAATCTAAGGAATACATACCTACATTTTCTAATGCTTGTCCAGGTTTATCGTTAATTTCAATTTGACATTCTTCCTGCAAGTTCTTCATTTTTAATTCAATACCACTAAACAAAAAGACATTAAGTATGTTTATTAAAACCATGCACGTGTGAATGGCAGTTCAATCGCGCACTCTAAAAACCTTTTACACTCTAAAGGCCCGTTTACACGGGGGATTTTTGCTGCGATTTTAGTTGCGATTTTCTCCTTTTGGAAGATGTGAAGGAGTGGATGAGTTATAAATGTTCCAGGATATGAAATCTCATAACAACATCATTAAGTAATCTACTCCTTCAGATCCTCCAAAAGGAAAAAATTGCACCTAAAATCGCAGCAAAAATCGCAGCAAAAATCGCCCGTGTAAACGGGCCTTAAGGTTAACCTAGGAATTACACTATTTGGGTGAACTTCGGTGAACTTAATATTCCTGATTAAATTTCGAGGTCATTTATCTCACCTCCTGCCATAGTCTGGTTAATGTACTGTAACCAGGAGTCTGCATGGTTGATTATGATTATTCAGTGACCGACTACATCAAGTATTACGCTTACATATATTACCTACTAAGCTTAGACTTTATTTTTACAACAATTGTGATATTACTTTCCTAACTGTGTTTATCCTAACCCACCCTGTCAACCTTCCCTGTGGGAGGAAACCGGAGCGCCCGGAGAAAACCCACGACTTTCGGCAGAGCATTGACTAGCCTGCGTAGCAGGCGGTATTCGCGGGCATGAGAGAACGGGTAGCTTGAAATACCGCCTGCCCAAAAACTACACATTCTGAGTTCTCCGGCAGCTGGGTGACGGAGCATATGATTGGTCAGGATGTTGATTTTGAATTTTTGATTGACAGGAGTAAAGAATCAGAATAATTTAATAGTGCTAACTTTTAGAAGTTACTGTTGCCGTATTAAATGATTTTATGCAATAAAAATAATTAACTTCGAGAACGAATGTGTGCGTGTTGTTTATGCATAGATATTAATTATATATTCATATTAGTTATTGCAGGCTTACCGAGTTTATTTAAGCCGGGGAGCTCACAGCTCATTGCCTGCAGACTTTCACGTTCGCAACGTGTCCTCTTTTACATTGCCGAGATTGACGAATAATAGTCTAGCTGGCTTTAATTTACGTGCACCAAATTCGTTGGATTTCTCCCTATTGCCGGCTGTTTCTATTCCGTCCACCGTTGGTCGTTCCTCGGAGAGCAATGTCGACGTTTCCTTGGTTGATGTTTCGCCAAATTCATCTGCTGCGGTGACTTCAGTGGTCGAAGCTTCGTCGTCCTCGACAGTTTGTTTTTCTGCTCCCTTGGTCGTTCCTGCCTCGCAGTGTTCCCTCGCCGGCTCTTTGGTTTCGTCGTCTGCTGTGGTGCCTATTAGCCATAGCATTTCGTCGTCGCCCTCGTCGTCCGCTGCATTCCCACTTCCTTACATGCCTCGTCACCCCTGGCCGGCTTCCACCTTACAGCATCACCCTACAGTGCTCCAACAAGCGTCCCAGCCGCCGTTTTCTCTCGTTTCTCCGTCCTTGTTGTTTAGTGTCAATCTCGTCCCCCGAGCCTCGGGAAGGAACGCGAGGCTCTGGGATAATCCGTTGCCGGAAGCCAGGAATCCTGGCTAAGATTGAACTGCGCATTCCATTTCAACGGCCAATCAGATTCCTCCCTGAAACGGCTTATCCCAGAGCCTCACGTTCCTTCCCGAGGATCGCAGGCTCGGGGAACGAGATTGGTTTAGTGTCATTTAGTGTTTACTAGTCCGCCATCTTGTCACCTTGGCCCAGTCCCTGCTAGCTCGGCTCCGTCATTCCATTCCATCCACCAACAGGCGCGTTAAATTCCATCCTCCAGCAGACGCCACTACATTCCATCCTCCAACAGGCGCCGCTAAATTCCATCCACCAGCAGGCGCCGCTATCTTCCATCCATCAACAGGCGACGCTCAATCCCATCCTCCAGCAGGCGCCACTACCCTCCATCCACCAGCCTGTGCCTCCCATTCCCATCCATCAGCAAGTGCCCTTGACTCCCGTCTACCAGCAGGGGCTAGTGAATCCCAGCCTTCAGCAGCCCCATCTGAATCATGTTCCTCAGCAGGCTTTCGGTATTACACAGAGCTCAGGCTTGCCGTTACCATCGTCAGCTGCCGCTATCCATCCGCTTTTGGGATTGCAACAACCAGATTTGCGGGAGGCGTCAGGTATGTTGGGGCAGGTCCCCCCTTTATCAGAGGCTTTTGTTGTGGGCCCGGGGTTTTTGCCTATCCCTTACAAGTTAGTCGTGGCCATTACGTCGGGTCAGTTTGTCGAATTCTCATCCTTGTTGGTTAAACCTTCTGAACCCCTACCCTCCGGTCCGGTCATTTCAATTGATGGCCGGGTGGTCGTCTCCCACAATCCGAAACCTTTGCGACGCCTTCACGACATTGCTCAATGGGTTCAGGCGTTCTCTATCTATACCCTTGTGATGGTCTCCTACTGCCCCTGGCGGGCAGTTGACCTGTTAAAATACCAGCTTCTCATTTTGCGAACACAAGCTCAGTTTGGGGGTCAAGCCTGGCTCAATTACGATGAAGCTTTTCGGCGTGACGCAGCTGCTCGCCATGTGACTGACTGGTCCTGCATGCACGTGAAACTTTATAATTTCCATACTGCTTCTACCCGGCTTCCAGCTACCCTCACCACCCGCAAGCTTCCTGAGAGATCGGGAGCTCGTTTCTCCACCAGTATTTGCCGTTCCTGGAATGCTGGACGTTGCATCAGTTCTCGCGCTTTTTGCCGCTATCTCCACGTTTGTGATACCCCACGCTGTCGTGGTCCTCATCGGCGTGTTCACTGCCTTAACATTTCCCTTAATCAACCGTCTCCTTCATCAGCTTTGGGTCTGCCAGCGTCCGAGACTCGCCCGCGTCAATCTTGTACCTTTGGTTGTTACTGTTATACCCTAGCATAGAATTTTATTATATCAACTCTTAATTGTGTGTGGCTGTTGCCAACTGATTGGTGTGTCGTTATTTACTACTTATTGACGTGGTCCTCGTACTTGGCGTGCTATTTTAGCGGTAGTGTTTGTATTTAAGTTAACTAACTTGTTTGTATTACTATACTATTGTTCTTTTGCAGCTTTTGTCCGTTCTTTCTTTAGCTCGTGTTCCTGTAGGGGTTGATACCCCTGTGGCGGCCGTTACTTCACTCGTCCTCAACGAATTTAGGCGGGAGCTAATTGGGTTTCCGGCTAGCAAATTAAATTACGCGATTCGTGGGATCCAGGACGGTTTTCGTGTGGGCTGGGAACCATCTCGCGCGCCCCTGCGATCTCGTTCGTCCAACATGCGTTCTGCCTCCGAACATCCCGAAGTCGTAGACAAATATCTGGCTTCTGAAGTTGCTGCGCATCGCATGGCGGGGCCGTTAGATACTCCTCCTTTCAACCGTTCGTCCCCTCATGGTCATAGTGTCAACGCTGGTATTCCCAAAAACCCGTACTCCTTACGATATATCACTGTTGATGACGCCATTCGGTCTTTGGTGAGTCTTGGCCCCGGGGCCTTGATGGCGAAATTCGATGTGCAAGCTGCCTACCGGAACGTCCCTATTCATCCTGACGATCGTTTTCTCCTGGGGATGAAATGGCGGGACAAGTTTTATGTAGATTTGGTCTTGCCGTTTGGATTGCGCTCGGCCCCTTTCATTTTTGATTCCGTGGCAGAGGCTGTTGAATGGACTCTAAAGCACAATTACGCCATTGACCCGCTATTTCACTATTTAGATGACTTTCTCACCCTGGGTCCTCCAAACTCCCCCCTTTGTCAGTCCCACGTTCACACCGCGTTTTCCGTTTTTTACCGCCTGGGTCTTCCCCTGCATCATGAGAAATGCGAGGGTCCTATTACTGTTATGATTTTTCTCGGTATCCAACTGGATTCGGTTCAACAAATGGCTAGCTTGCCCCCCGACAAAGTTGACCGGATACTTCGTCTCCTCCAGTCTTGGTCCAGGAAATCCACCAGCACCCGCCGGGAGCTTGAGTCCCTCATCGGATCTCTCCATCATGCCTGTCGGGTTGTTGTCCCAGGACGCACGTTCCTTCGCCGGATGATTAATTTATTGTGCTGTTTCCGTAATCGCAACCATCCTATTCGATTGCAACCTTATTCCCCTCAGTGATCGGCGATACAAGGCCTGCTCAAAACTATTCAATCAACTCATCAACAATCTACATCATAAATTATCATCCCTTCTGCCAGAACGTTACTCTGCGAACTACGATTTCAGAAAAACTCGAGAGTTTCATCTTCCAAAGATAAAAACAGATAGATTATCTAAGAAAATTCTTTTATACCGGCGTGCATCAAAGAATTTTCTTAGATACTCAATTTTATATAACCTTTCAACATAAATTTTTATAAATCTATTTATAAATACTTATAGTATATATTTTATTAACTTTATATGAATTAAAATGTTTCCTGTAAATTATAGCTCTATAGAACTTAACCTTTGTTGTTTCTTTTTAATAAACCTACCTATCGATTAAATCTCGAGTTTCGCCGCGACCGACAGTGGTGGCTGTCGTTTTTCCAAGAGTGGAATGGTATGTCTTTTTTCCTCTCCCCATCCGTGTCACCTTTACCCGATTTGGTTGTGTCGTCCGACGCTTCTGGTACTTGGGGTTTCGGGGCTCTCTGGCGCCGCGAGTGGTTTTTCAGTTCGTAGTTTTTCCTTCCTTCTGGTGCGTCTATCACCTTCATGGAATTGGTTCCCTTCGTGGTTGCAGCGCATCTTTGGGGGTCTGCGTGGTCTCGCTTGCGTGTTCAGTTTTTATGCGATAACCGGGCTGTGGTCGATATTTTGAATGCTGGTACTTCCAAGTCGTCGGCTGTCATGCACCTTTTGCGCCTGTTAACCCTTGCTGCTTGTCGCCATAATTTCGTGTTTTCGGCGTCTCATACCCCGGGTCGTGTCAACGTAGCTGCTGATGCTTTGTCTCGTTTACGTTTACAGGATTTCCGCCGTCTGGTTCCGGAGGCAAACCCTCTCCCTCGACTAATTCCCCCCGCGTTGCTGGGTCAACTGGTCCCCCCGTCTTGATTGCCCGATGTTATGGTCTCTTGGCGCAAGGCCTCGCCCCTGCTACCCATCGTGTGTATGCTGCTGGTCAACGTTCCTATTTCCGGTTCGCAGCCGCTTTTGGCTTCCCCCGCTTCCCGGCTTCCGAGTGGCATCTCATGCTTTTTGCAACCTGGCTTTTTTACACTAACGGTCTGGCTCCGTCTTCTATTACGACATATATCGCCGCTGTTCGTTCCCTGCACATTGATACATACATTACATACATACATCAACTTTATTTAAACACGGAAAATCATCAGTATAATTATTTACAAAAATATTAAAAATTTTTAAAAGGAGCAAAAAGAAATATAGATACTGTTCTACCTGATTGCCGTGTGGGAGTCAGATCGATTATTTATTAAGAAGGCTTCTAAACCTGTCTTAAATGCAGCGAGAGAGGTTACTGATCTAAGAGATTCTGGCAGGCCATTCCATAAAGAGGCTCCACTGTAACTGGAGGAGCGTTTCAAATAATCTGTGCGTGGTTTTGGGATATAAAGTTTACCATAAGAATCTCTCAGGTTATAAACACTCTCACTGGGAGAAAACATCTCTTGTAAATAGAATGGTGTATGTTTATTAATAGTATTAAACATGAGGATTGCCTTTTGCTTTAATCGCTTAGTGGACAATGATTCCCAATTAAGTTCTTCAAGAAGAGAACTTGATGAAATATCATAGGATGAACGGGTAATAACACGGGCGGCCCTATTCTGTAATTTTTGTAATTTTTCGCTTTGCTTTTTACCTAGTCCATCCCAAACCGGGGCACAATAGGGAAAATAGGGCTCCACCAAACTTTGGTAAACTCGAATTGCAGTTTCTGTGGTAATAAAATCTCTCATTCGTTTGAGAGCGCCGATACCCGAAGAGACTTTTTTGGTGATATTATCAACATGATATTTCCAAGTCAAGTTCTCATCAATTGTTAAACCTAATGACTTAGACTTCAGCACTCTATTAATCTGTTTATTGTTAACACATACTTCCACATTCTGATTATCAAAGGTTGAAAGTCTTTGACGAGATCCAATAATCATAAATTCAGTCTTGGCAATATTTAAACTTAACTTATTTGCCTCTAGCCATGTGTTTAAATTGGCTATTTCAGCATTCATAAGATTTTCTAGCTCAGAAAGATTATTACTTTGCATGTTGATGTTCGTGTCATCAGCATACATTCTAGGTAAACCCTCGTTCAAGCAGTTAGGCAAGTCATTGA